GCAATGTTCTGCACACCCTTCCCCGGCCCGGATTCCGCTGCCCTTACACAAACTCATCCGGGAAGCCGTCCGAGCCGGGGCTAGGGGCCGGGAGATGGGATCGCGGTAGGGAGCCGCGGGGGCGGGGGCAATGAGGAAGAACGGGAGAGACGGGGTGGGGCTGAGGGAGGGAGGAAAGAGGAGAGAGGGGAGGGAGGAGGAACAGGAGGAAGGAGAAGACAAGAGCGGCCGGTTCGCCGGCAGCCAGTAGGGAGGCCGCAGGGACCCGGCGACGTCGGAGGCTCTAAGGTGGACAGAGGCCCCCACCACCGTACTGCTGACGCGCCCCTGGATCCCTTCTGGCTCACACTCGCGCCCCCAGTCTTGCTTGGTGCCGTGGAGCGGCGGCAGAGGCGGCAGATCCGAGGAGGGCAGGTGAGAAGGGCTGGGCTGGAGGACCGCAGCGCGGGGAGCAAGCAAAGCTCAGAGACCGGAGGGCCGCGGAGTAAGGCTCCGTCCAAGGACCGCGCCGGGGGCGAGAGACCCCAAGATCCTCGGGATTTCCGAGCCCTGAACTGAAGCGGCCGTCGGGGAACTGCCAGGAGACTGGGCTTCCGCGGCTCTGGCTCTTCCCCACCAGGAGTGGGGGCAGGGGGACAGGGAGCTGAACGGTGAGAAGTTAGGGGGAAAGGGCTTGGAGAGAACTTGACCATCAGGCTCCGAGGTTCCACGTGCGTATCCTCACTTCTCTCTTCTCCTAGATCCCCATCTGCTAAATGCCAAGGTCTGCACTTTCTGTGCCCAGTCAAGGCGTTGGCGGATCTCACCCAGCCAGACCCCTCTGAATCGCGGGTGAGCGCACCCAACTCTCGCGAAGGCGGAGGTGGGGAGCCGCCGCAGGTGGCAAGTATGAGCTGGGTCCCAAGGAGTCTCTAGAGAGTACGGACTGCCTGTGTTGCCCGGGCGGAGCTGGGGTTGGGCCTCCTGGGCAGAGCAGAGACCCCTCCTGGTAGTCCTCGGAAGCCATGCTGGTGGCAGCAGAGAGTGGAGAGCACCAGAGACAGAAAGATACACACACATACACATACGCCTCCTTGTTGTGGGCCCATGGCCCAAGGAGGGAAAGCAGCTGCTGCCTCACAAGGACCAGGCCCTCCCATTTGGTCCCCAGGAAGCTGTCCCTGCTCCAATCTTACACCTTTCCAAGATATGGGGTCTCCAAGAGCACTAGGGCCTTTACCAACTTGCCCTTGCCCTCAACAACCTTTCCAATCTCCGCGGTGCTGTGATAGACCCTAACTTGGATGCTGCTGCTTTTATGTTACTGGGAGTGGGAGCAGCTACTACCCTCCAGGGAAGGTCCAGGGACCACCTAGTCTGTAGCATCCTGGCAAAGTGTTCACATCTCTGCCTATAGTCTCTGCCTAGCACTGCCAGGAAGGCTAGGTTCCTCCATTCTGGAGCCTGATTCATCCATCTTTCTGGATGCTCTGCCCTTGGGTCAACTGTGCCTGGACCCTGGCTCCCACCTGGGCCATGCTTGCCTGGGGGGTGGGGGAGGGCGCAGGGGATAAAATGGGCTAAGCATCAGCTTTCTGCTCTTGGGAGAGAATAGGCAATGGGTGAGTGGAAATCATGGATGCATGGCTCTGAGGCTTATGCTTAGCGCATTCTCTGAAGGTAGAAGGTAGCCTTAAAAATAGGCCTTTGCCCCCTCTTGGCCTGTGTCACTTGTACTGTGAATAAAAAATTAATCCTCTTCTCTCCAGGTTGAGTCAGGTGGTCTCTAGGGGCCTGGACTGTGCAGCTGCCCTGTCCCATCTCCCTCAGCATTCCCATGCCACCTGCTCTAGGAGCCTGGGAACCAAAAATTGCCTAAGTCCAAGTCTGTCCAGCAGGCCCCAGGGTCCTCCACTCCCACCCCTGCCTTGGCCAGAGGCCAGGCTCCCAGTCAGCCCAGAGTGCTCCTGGAACCCACAGCCTTAGAGGACCTGTGTTCATTTACACATGCATTGATGCATGCGTGCATTCCTTTTACTCAGCTACCCAGCACTGATCCTACTCCATGCTAGTCACGCAGCTAGGTCCCAGAGATGAAGCACTGAACACAACAGGAGAAGCTCACAGTCTAGTGGGAAAGAGAGATTGTAATCAGCAAAACGGGTATCTGTTGGGTCCAAGGCAGGAACAAAGCAAGTGCTCCAATCCTTATGGATTTGGAGTGAGCGAGTCCAGCCCCGCTCCCTCCCACTCTGCTCTGGGGTGGTAGGTTGAGCCTGGGTGGCAGTCTTATGGAGTAGGGACCACCTAAAGGCTCACTCTAGACCCCACTCTATCCCATCTGGGGACTCAGAAAGGACACTGTGGTCAGGGGGCCTGGTCCAGAGATTGGGAGATTGGGACCAGGTCTACAATGAGGCCCTGTGTATTTGGGGCCCATGTCCAGCTCTAGCCTCTTCACAGGGTGGGGGTGAAGGGTCCATGTAGCTTTATGTGGCTATTGTGCTGATGCCCTTCTGCTTCTTGGTCCCCAGGTCTGCACTTCTGCTTCCCCAGCCAGGAGTCACCAAGATGCCCATACTGGAAAAAGCTCCCCATAAGATGGCAGCAAAACCGCCCAGCAGTGAGGAGGAGTCTGTGAGTGACTTTTGGAGCTCTCTCCTTCATCCCTGTTCTCCCTACTCACATACTCTTGCTTCCAGAACAGTCCTGTGTGAGACTAGCCCCCAACCCTGCACTCTCCAGGGCATGAAGTCCAGGCTGCAGTCCTGCTCTGAGCCCACTGAGGAGCCTGGGAACGCCTCGAAGGGCTGGGAGTGGTTTCAGGGGATGCTGATGGAATTCTGACAGCCACACTTCCTAACCCCAAAGCCAGGAAGAGCCCTTGACCTGGGCCAGGTACTCTCTCTTCTCCCAGGGCTTTTTCCCCTCCCCAAGTTCCACTTCCAATGGCTTTGAGCCTAGTGGAGTTGCCTTAGGGTGAGGCTGAATTTCTACCTTAAGCCAGGTCACCTCCCAGTCCCGGCTACTGTTACTGGTTCAGCCCTGGAGCCTTGGGCACTCTCTTCCCCACTGGTTTAAGACAATGCCACCCCTCCTTAGGCAGGCATCCTCCTTCCTTACCTTCTTAAGTGATGGAGCAGCTTATCTAGTCTGTGAGTTGTTGCAGTGCTGGCCCCTCTGCTAAGTTAGTCTTCTTGCCACTTCTTTACCCAGGGCTTCGTTTGAAATCCTAATCAGAACTTTTAGGCTTCTACCCATGAAGTTGCTCACCATGCTGTTTGTCCTGACTTTTGCAGCCCACAAACATCTCTGTTGTTGAGTCTTGCCATGGCATGTCCCTCCCATTGAAATGTGGCTTCCCTGGGAGCAGGCCTTTTCTTTCCATTGTCCCTAAGTCCAGTCTAGGGCCTGGTTCACATGAACTTCCCAGGAAATGTGTACTGACCTGGGACCCTAGTGTCCAAAGACCCTCATTAGTACACCTCCCTGCCTCTATCTAGCCCCAGGTGTGGGCCAGAAACCTAGGAGAGTCTGGGGAGGAGCCCCATGGGGCTACGACATGTGAGCAGAGATTTTCTGCCTCATTCCATTTTACCCATCGCTGATTCCCCATAACTCTGAGTCCCAGCACCCTGTCAGAGCCCTGAGGAAGGGTGACCTGTTTCTAGCTGGGACCCCAGCCAGGCCAGCTGGCACTCTTGGAAAGGCCACCAGCTGGGCTTGGCTTTCTGCAGGTACTTGCCCACTCACCCACCAGAGAGGCCTCCAGACCCCAAGACAGGGGAGGGGGAACCAGAGCAGCTGGATGGGGGTCTGGACCTGGCTCTCTTGAAGTGGGCTGAGGAACCTGGAATGCTACCCAGACCACCCTGGTCCTTGAGAGTTCCCTGGGGCAGGATAGCACATAGTTGGCACTGACACCCTCCTCCCTCCCCCTAGAGTAGTGAGCTCTAAAGACAGGATGAGGCAGGCAAGATTCTCATTCATTCATCAGCACAGGCTCCCGTGGTTGGTCCTTGTCTGCCAAGGGCCACTTGGGGAGGGCCTCAGCCCATGCAGCGGCAGGAGCAAAGCAGAGGCAAGCTTTGAATGGACCCCTTTACTCCACAGCCTGCCAGGGGTGGAAATTCACTGTCACCCCCACCCCAAGGGGAAAAACCCCTGAAAGAAGGTGACTACCTACTGCCAACTTTATAAACTTTATCGGTAATATGAAAAGTCCTGGTTTCTGACTGTAACTAGCTTAGTGAGGAAGAAGGAAAAGGAGGAATGGAAAAAGGACCAAGGAGGAAGGGAGAGAACAATCTAGGAGGAAGGAGCAGAGTGGATGTTGGATGAAGACTGATTTCAGGTCCCAACTCTGCTATCATATTGCTGGGTGACCATGGACTAGTTTCTCCACTCTTTGGGCTTCAGTTTCATCTGAAAATGGAAGGAAAATCCCTGCCCAGGTCAGCCGTAACATGGTTGAACACAAGCATGAGATCCCTGGGTGAACACAGCTGGTAAATTAGGAAGCATGGCATCCAGAAAGGGGAGACATTGGTGGAGAGTTCTATTCAGACTCTCTCCACACTTTGGGAGTCCCCAGAAGTTATGGGTTTCCTTTTAGGAATCCCTTTTAGAGGGGGACAGTAACATCATAACATTTTATGATGTGCTTATCTGGGGCCAGTGGTTTCTCTCATTTAATTCTGTGCTCCACTCAGGTAGGAATTGTTATTTATGTCCTATGGATTAGGAAGCTGGGGCTCAGAAAGGCTAAGATAGGAAGAACATCCACAGCACTCTCTGTTCTCCCTCCCCCGCCCTGTACCCACATGGAGCAGAATGGGGCTCCCGGCTTTCATAACTGGGAAGGGCTTAGTAAGGAGCCAGGACATTAGTCACCTTCTTAGGAAACAACTTGCAGGATTCTGAACTATGCCTCCCGCCATCTTTCACCTGTCCAAATCTCTCCATTAGTATTATACCCTTTGGGTCCAGAGATCAACTGACTTCTGAAGCCCCAGCTGGAAACAATCCCTAAATTAAGAGTGATAAGTATCCAATATCAGTAACAGATCTGCTTCATCTTAGACCCATTCCTTATGATTTAAAAGCACTTTTCACATAGGATCTGTTTGATCCTATGAGAGGTAGAGGTTATTATCCCCATTTTACAGGAGGGGAAACTGAGGCACAAAGGTGAGGTGGTTTGCTTAAGATTACACAGCTGGTTAGCAGCAGGGTCAGTGCATGAACCCAGGTCTGTCTGGTGCCAACATCAAGGTATTTTCCTCTACACTTTATCCCCTCGTGGGGGCAGGACTGGGGTACCAGAAAAAAACAAATAGAAGTTTCCTAAGTTCATAATTCTGCTGAGCTGAGCCCTGGAAATAGGCAAGACCCAGAGTGTAGAACAAGGATAAGGCCAGATGGAGACACACAGTGGGGATCATCTCGCGGACAGGCATGGACCCCACACAAGAACAGGCATAGCAAGTGCTGGTGAACTCTCTCTTCCAGGAGTTGCCCAAACTTCCAGTGCCCCCACTGCAGCAGACCCTGGCCACTTACCTGCGGTGCATGCAGCACCTAGTACCTGAAGAACAGTTCAAGAGGAGCCAGGCCATTGTGCAGCGGTTTGGGGCCCCTGGTGGCCTTGGTGAGACCCTGCAGCAGAAGCTCCTGGAACGACAGGAGAAGACAGCCAATTGGGTAAGAGTTGCTGAGAGGGAGCAGACTAGGGCGTGGGGGCAGACAAGGGACCCACAGGGTGGGGGGCAGGGAGCAGACACGGAGACAGGGATTTGGATGAGAGGCAGGTAGGTAACAAAGATGGACAGATGAAGGGATAGGGATGAGAGGAGAAACAGGGGGACAGCAAGGGACAGACAGGATGTGTGTGGGATGGGAGATAGGGATGGGGACCAAAAAGGGACAGATGGGGATAGAGATAGAGTGCTGGGGAGAGACAGGATATACAGGTAGAAGACATTAGGGGTTGCGGATGGGGGACAGACAAGGACAAGGATGGAGGACAGATGGGG